CTTACCCTCCCCCCTTTTCCCCTCCACCTCCGCAGCTGAAGCCCGCCAAGCCCCGACTGGACAAGCCCGCTCTTCAATATTTTTTCCCCCTTTTTTGTCCGTAGATCTGTGGAAAAAAATCTTCCCGGTCGCCTATTCACTCCTTTACCTTTTGTTTAAGCACGATCAGTGTATGCAAATGTGCTCGCGCGCATACATCTGCTCATATGCGTCCCGTCGCATGCTGATTATCCATTTTTTTTTTTGTTTCTCCTGCTTTTGTTTTCGAAACACAGCGTGCGCGCCGCCCTGCTGCCGTACGTTACATCCTGCCAGTGTGTCCCGCCGCTCTGAGATGAGTGCCGTGCCGGACGGTGAGTTTGTTTCAGTTCCACTCGCGCTCTCGTCGCGGGATGATCGTCCCGGGTTTCCTTGTGCTGCAGCCGCAGCAGATGCACCCTCTCCCAGTTCCGGCGCCACTGCAGTTTTGTTATTTGATGTGCGCTTTATTCCCTGTTTCTTGAAAGCACCGAAAGTCTTGCTTGAATGAGTGGGTGCGTTATTGCTGCGCGTCCTCGTGCCTGTCTGAGTCCCGGCGGGAAAGGGTTGAGGCGGACAGATATTAGACCATTAACGAAGAACAAGGAGAAACACTTTTCAAAATGTCGTCTTTGTTCGCTCGAGCAAAAATAGGAAGGAGATCCGCGGGCTGCGCTGCCGCTAGCGGAGCTCTGCCAGCTCCACGCGCGTGCGGGAGGAACCGCGGCGCCATCGCTGCACCAATGGGCGACGGGGACGGCGAGGTATGGCGGCCGGGGAGTGTATGGGGGTGGCTGCGGAGGAGGAGAACGCGGAGGAGGAGGAGGACGCGGAGGAGGCGAGGGCGAGGGGAGGAGGGTTGAGGTTAGGGTGCTGGGGGTGATTTTGAAAGAAATGCCGAGGGGCGCCTCAAGAAAGGGTTGTAATTGCAATTTTGAGTCGACGACGGAGCGCCCCGGCCCAGCATCCTCTGCGTCGCGTCGTCCCGGGCGACGACGCCGCACGCTCGGCTTCTTCGGAAAAGAAGAAAGAGGGAGAGGGAGAGAGGGAAAATTCATTGTACGTTACCCTGCGAGAAAGGGGGCGACCGACGCCCGGGCACGGCTCTGGCGGGGTGGCTGCTTCTTTTAAAATATTCAACGTTTCCGAAAGAGAGCGAGAGAATCGTCCGACGGGCTTCTCCATTAGCTACATTTGCATGCATATGGAAAAGGTGCGCGCCGAGTGATACAATGATGCGAGTCGGGAAGATGACGCTCTTGAGGTCGGCGCGGAGCGAGAGGGTGCACAATGCGCTGGACCCAGCATCCCACGGACTGCTGCTGCGCCGCGCCGCCGCGGCCGCGGCCTCATTTCGTATGCACCGTTAAATTAAACAACTTGAAAAAGTTTCGTAAATATCGCTGCGCGCCACGCTACGCTGCAGGCACAATGCGCTTCTGATTACAGCTTCACACACTGTCACATGGCAAACAGCGGGCCAGCGCGCCGCGCCGCGGTCGGGCTACCGGCGCGGCATATTTTAATTTTTAATTGAATTCCGCGGGAGGCATTTTTGTGAATAAGCGCGTCTCTGTCTGTCGCGTTGGGTCGCGCTGCTACCGGGTGGCGGGGATTACCGTTGGCCCTCGCGACACCTGACGGCCCGACGGCGGCCCGCGGCTGATCGGCGCGGTGATCGGCGTCCCGTGAGATTGCCAGCGACGTCATCCCGCGGGCCAGTATAGTGAGGAGGCTTCGATGTAATGAGACGGGTCAGTGGAGCTGACTACAGTCGCGCTCACGTATACATACATGCGTCAGATACTGTTTTCACCTGTGATTTAGTGTGTGCAGTGCAGTTATACTGCGTGCGAAACGTTCCGTCTGAGAAAGGAGGGTGCTCTCAATAAACTTGTTCCAATTTATTTTCGCAACTTTGTATTTGTGTTACTGTTGGTCTTCGCTGGATTTTATGGACCTATTATATAATTTAATAGTGGGTGTTTCAGTCATGACAGCTCAGCCCTTTGAAAGTCAATTTTGGCATACCTGTTACCTATGTAGCGTCAACGCGTCACCCTCCCTGTCCTCGGTCGGCAATCCCGACTTTCTGTAAAAAGCCGTAGATTTTTGGAGTGCTCTGCTCGCTTTGCTCCCGAGACGTCCGGCTACCCCCCTCCCCCCTTTCTCTCCAACGGGGTTGTTTACCCTGGGAGGTCATTACATCTCAGGCTGTCTCTTCATTTAATTTTCATCAGTCCGGAAAATGTGTTATAATAAAAATAAGCCTAGCCGTTTTGTTTTCGGAGCCCTACTGCGTTTATCGGATTTGTTTTGTTCCCTTTTTCTGCAGACACGACGGCATAGTTGATGGCAATTGAACCACCACCGTGCCTCACCCATCCTTGCGCACCCCTTTTCGCACAGCGAGACCTGTCGTCCTTTTCGCACACAAAGTCATTCAAACCCTCATTGGTGTACCTGCACTCTATTGTGTGCGGGGTGGTGTGCAAAATGCACAGCGCGGCGGACTAACAAGTGTGGCCGCCGTGCCAACCCCTCCGCGGAAACCCTCCCCGCACCCTCCCCAGCCCCACCTAGGCAGAGGCGTCCC